TGTTAATACAATATTTTTCAAAGCTTCTATATTAATTGAATATCCACTTACTATAGTCAATAAAATATTTTCGCAACGCTTTATTAAATTAACATCAATGCCAGTACACAAAGACGATGTTTCGGCATTTATAAAAATACCATGCAAATTATAAGTTTTTACATAATATTTAATACATATAATATTTATATCCGATTCGCTACATTATTATTATAATTCTTTGTACCTCGCCACGCAATATCAACTAGAAGTCCCATCTCAGCACGAAATTTATTTTGAACAAATTTTTTTCGCGCATTATATTGATCTCTGTTTTTATCTTTAACCTATATTTATAATGTATTTTATGAAATATTTTAATTCATATTTACAAAATTAATCTTAGGAATTTTACCTGCCACGTTTTAAATTCTAACTTGTACAATAAGTGGATAAAATATTCAAAAAAAACGTATCCACGCATGTAATGTTGATAATCCGTATCTGTAATTTCCTTTATAACAGGTCGACTTTTAATTGCCTCAATGTTATTCATTTCGGTCGGCTTACACCATCAAATATAACATTTTTGACTGGATGTTCCAGTCATTGAATTGCAAACCTTTAAATGTGTATAAAAACAAAATAACAATAATTATTAACCATAGAACATTAAAAATATACACTATTTTTTAAAATAAATAATTCAATTCATGCAAGTTAAAAAGAAACTTATTAAATTATAAATAAAATGAGCATTAATTTTACCTTTCCATCGACCATAGAAAATATAAGAGTGTTTTTAACTTCAAGTTGTTCTTCATCGAATAATACATACGTATTATTTAATTCCCTTATTTGTTGTTCTATATCTTCAACTTTTAATTTTGTATTTTCAATAGTTTCTTTCATGAACATATATTTTATAGATCGGCAAAATCTTGTTGACGACGGAGTGAGATTTTTCCAAATAATGTCATAACTATTACCACTATTATCACTATAACATCGAAGTTCAAGAGGGACAATAGAGTACATAAATACCGTTTGGTATGTTTTACTCACATTACTATTAAAATTTTGCTTATATTGAGCCTGACCACTACTACCGTCACAGCCCCATTTAGAAATCATTTCCATAGATTTTTTATTTTTTTCAACCTTGTTTATTGTTTCTATTCGAAATATTCTATTAATTGTGCGATCTAATAAGTTTTGAAGAGGTATTTTACAACCTGATTCGCTAACATCCAAATTATTTGGATAACACTTCAATTTTGCAAAATAAACCTTTTTATAAGATGAATAAATATTACAGTTCCTTTTTTTAGAACAAAGACGAATATTCAGGTATTTTTGTTTTGTAAGCTTTGTAATGTTGCAGAATTTATACTAGTTTTTTTAATAAATCCTATCAGTTAGAGGTGTGTGCAGTAGGTGTAAAGTATTTTAATAGTTGTGTATGTGATAACCTCCACTATTCAACCGGTCCGATATCTGTCATCCTATCGTCATCAGCTGACCGTACACTGTGCACCTGTACCAATATTGTTGTATTTCCCCAAATGAACGTATTTAAAGTTGGCACCACCACCACCCGGCGTCACAATCACCGGCTACTATACAAATGCCGCGACAACGTATTTTTTTTTCTTCTCTCAACTATACTACCGAGGCGACAAGTTGTCTGTCTATATAATTTTTATTGTGAAAACCACATTTTTTTGTATTGTTTTTGTTCTCCGTTTTTTTATTAAAATAAAACGTCGAGATGTTGCTGATGGCGTGAGGCGTGAACTATGTCCGGTGGTGGCCGGCACTCTTCAAGAAATCAACAAGTACAACATGAAACCCCCCTTTTCTACCCCCTTAATAACTTTCTGTACATAGCACCTCTCTTTTTTTTCT